TGCACTATTGGCTCGTGAGGTGGAGCACGGTGGCTCCGGTCCACTTGGGGGTCACTGGGTGGGGCCAAGATAGGCCATGAGGGACCTTTCTGGGGGTCTTTCAGTGATGATGAATGCTGGGCAGGGTCCTACCAGGCTCAGATCAATGTGCCAACACCGCATCATGGGATGGAACTGGCTGTGCGCCCCTGCAGGGCTCTTATACTATTGCCTCACTGACTTGTAGCATCAAGCATACTCAAAGAGAAATCTGCCATCTGCCAGATTCTTCTTCTTTTGTAGGTGATTTCTTTCCTCTCTTGGGAAACCTTCCAGATTTTCTCTTTCTCACTGGAACTCCAGAACATCACCAAGATATATGTAGGAGTGAGTCTTCTCTCACCAACCATGCTGGAAGTTTGATGAGCTGTGACAACCTCAAGACTTTAGTCCTTCATTAGCTCCAAATACTTTTCTTCAGTTATTTCTTTAATAATATCTTCTGCTCTGTTCCCTTTTTTGTCTTTTTCAGGAACTCCTATCAAATGAATGTTGAAGCTTCTGCATGTATCCTAGCTTACAGTTTTTCTTTATTCATTAGCTGCTTGGATATTTGCATTGTATCCTTAGATACTTCTTTCTTGTTTTTTTTTTTTTTTTTTGGTCTTTTTCCTTTTTATCTGTACCAGGGATCGAACTCACGACTGCCTGCCTGCAAGGCAGGCGCTTATGCCGCTGAGCTAAATCCCCAGCCCCGATACTTCTTTCATTTAGCTTTCTAGATTGCTCATTCTTTCCTTGAGTATACCTAACCTGCTATGTAGATCATCTACTGAAATTAAACATTCAGTAGATGACATCTTAGTGGTATTTCCTTATATTCTCAATCTCCTCTTGTATCTCTCTGAAAATGCTGATCACTCTTCTGAAGTTTTCTTCCGTTTCTTGGATTAACTGTGCTTCTTTGGATGTCAGCTCTTCTGTTTGCAGGGTCTTGTGTCTCTCTTTTCTGTTTTCCCTAAAAACTTGGCCTAAAAGTTCAGATTTGTACATGACCACTATTCATGCTCATCAGAACTTCGTTATAGTGATTTGGAGAGAAAGGTCAAATGCAAAATAGGACAGAATATCTTAATTCCTTGACCTGTGATAGCAGCTCTTTTCTCTTCTTCTTCAATGTTGTGTACCTCCTGGTACCTCATGAACTTTTCCTTCTCTCTAACTGAATAACTACAGGCAGTTTCCTTGCATAACACTGAGGCTTCTTCTCCTGCTGTGCTTGGGTTTCCTTCTCCCTCCTGCTGCTGCCTCTCCCCTTCTTCCATTCCTGAGTTTTCTTCTTCCTCCTATGGCTCTTCCTGCATTTGAGACTTTCCTGCCTCCTTTTCTTCTGTCCCTGAGTTTTCTTCTCCCTCCTGCTCTTCCTTTTTCTTCCTCTTCCTCCCCTCAGGTTACTTCTTCTTGCTCTGGTCCATCCCTGAGTTTTATTCTCCCACCTCTGCTAGCCATGAGGCCTCCTGCTTCTCCATCGTGAGGCTTTTCCAAATGCGTTCACGTTTCACTCTTTAATGAATAAAGAGCTCAAGACATCACTTGCTGGGCCTTCAGCTTCATACTTTGAGGCTTTTAGTGGTTTATCCCATTTTCTTTATACCCTATGTTGTCTTCCTCCTTGATGTGAGTTTGCATTCTATGGAAGAACATCTTTCAACAAATCTTTCATAAAAAACCTTTTGACTGGTAGATTTTCTGAGGCTTTGCAGGTCTAAAAATGTCTTTATTTCACCATCACATTTAAATGCTAATTCAGCCTTGCATAGAAATTTAAGGTCAAGCTGAGCATGCTGGTACATGCCTGTCTTGCCAGCACTTGGAAGGCTGAGGGAGGAGGATTGCTGCAAGTTTGAGGCCAGCCTGGGCTCATAGTTAAAGGCCAGCCTGAGCTAGATAGCAAGACCCTGACTCAAAAATCCCCAAAAGAAAAAATTGAGAGTCACAACCTTTTACTCCAAAATACTACAGATGAGGTCCCATTGCTTGCTGACTTCCAGTGGTTTTTCTTCTTTACTCTTCCAAATTCTCAAGGTTTTTTCTCTTTCCTAACTTTCTTCACTGGTTTGTGCCCTCCAATTCTGTGCTTTCTTTTCTGAACTTCTAGCTATACATCATGATTTCTCCGTCTATCATCGTTACTGCATGAGGCTCCTCCCTGTTTTTCTTCTTTTTTTTTTTTTCACTCTGTCATTTTGAGGTAATTTCCTACCTCAGTGCCCATTGTGACTTTTAGCTTTGGCTTACTTTGTTACTCAGCTCATCTAGTTTTCTTTTAAAGGTCAGTCTTTCAATATTCTCATGTATTTTAGAGTCTTCTATTTTCTCCACCATCTCTGTTTTTGGTGAGGCTAAATCTTTTACTTCCTGGTACTCCTTCCTGCTACTAGAGTTCTTTGAGTTTATCACTTCAGGTATTGTGATTTTTGTTTCTAAAATTTCTCTTATGTTATTTGTAGGAATCTCTATCATCTCTTCCAACAAGAGGTCCTGCTTTTCCTTCAAGAACTCAACTTTGTTTCTATCCTTCCGCCCCTTAGAGATTTACCTGTAACCCTATACCCCTGTGCTTAGTAACCTACCTCTGGCGCCAAACGTGTGCCAATGGGATACCTGTGCATCCCTAATACCCCTTAGGGTCCACCCAAGACAGAGGCTACTTATGTGCCTGACTCCACGTGTTTGAGAGAGTGTGTTCCCGGGAGAGATCGCCGGCCCGGGGGTGGAGATGCTGCGCCCTGGGGGCCGGGGGTCTCTCCCCACATTCCCAAAATAAAGGTTACTTATATTTTATACTTCTTATCTTTGCAGCCACCGCCGGCCACTCCTTCCCTCTTCCTCCCCTTCTCAGACCTAACACCTATCACCTACTGATGAGTCTGTATTATACTCTGAATTTGGTAGTGGGGCCATTGCCTTCTCGGTCTCTGTGGATGCTCTTCTTTCCCTTCAGGAGACCTTTTTCTTATTCCTTTGCCAATCTTACCAGCTTGGATCAGACTCTGGATATTGTGGTGTTGTCAAAGCTAATTTTCTCTTCTTGAAGAGTAAATTTGTTCTTGCACACTGAGTAATCTCCAAAACTTCAAAATTTTAAGTCATTCTCTGCATTAGCTGGAGGAAACCTCTCTTAGCAGCAGGAAACATCCAGCCTGTAGCTGGCTTAGCTCCTATCAATCGCAGCATGAGACTGATCCCCACAAGGCCTCAAGAAACAATGGGCTTCCTTTTTAATCATCACTGATTCCCCTTTTTCCACTCTACTCTTCTTTCTCTTGGGCTGTTCTCTTACCTTTTTCTCCTTCATGAGTTCCTGAGGTGCTTATGAGACAGGAACTTATCATTCATCCTTTGTCAAGTACTACACTGAGCTCTAGACAAACAGAAAGTTGAAATTCTTAGGTGAATTTTTGTAAATTTCTTGTTTTTCCTCTCAGTTTTTGTTGTTGTTGTTGTTCTTGGATTTGTTTCATTTTGCTTTGCTTTGCTTTGTTTTGTGAGATAGGGTCTTATTAATAGTATGTATTCTAAGGTTGGCCTTGAACTCACTATGTAGCCCATGCTGGCCTCAAACTCACAGTCATCCTCCTGCCTCAACCTCCTGAGTACTAGGATTATAGGTGTATACCACTACACCTGGCGTGAATGTTTATAATTTTTTTAAAAATTCAGTTTATTGGTACATTTTAGATATACATAATGATCACATTCATCATAGGGAATTTGTACTGTACATGATCTTTTTTTTTGGGGGGGGGGGGACAGGGTCTCACTGTGTGGTTAATGCTGGCCTTGGGCTCACTTTGTAGCACAGGCTGGTCTCGAACTTGCAACGATCCTCCTACCTCAGCCTCCCAATGCTGGGATTACAAGAGTGTGCCACCCCGCCCAGCTGAACATGATATATCTTGATTCCTCTTCCCTTTCCATTCCTCACCTTCTCCCTTCAACTCCTCTTCCCCTCATTTACAAAACTTTGTTTCCATTTTATCCTCCTTTTCTCAGTTTTTTCTTTTCCCTTCCTTCCTTCTCCCATCCTCTCCCTAGTTCCACTTTCCTTTGAACAGGTAAATTTCTTAAAGGGTCTTCCCTTAGTACAGTGTTACAGAGGTCTCAGTTCATTAAATGACTTTAAAATTTCCTCTCCATTTTTTTCTCTCAAGAGAGATAATGTTGCCAGGAGTGTTGGCACACTCTTATAATCCCAGCAGGATCACTGGAAGTTTGAGGACAACCTGGGCTATACAGTGGGTTAAAGGCCAGCCTGAACTATATATATAGTTAGAGCCTGTCTTTTAAAAAAAAGAAGAAAAAGATAGAGGTAACGTTAGCCTAAATAAATAAAATCATCTCTGAATTATCTTTATTGATGGAGAACAGAATTCAGTGGAGTATGTAGTGGAGTTCAAAACTTTTTCAAAACCTCATGTTCATTTTTATGAAATTGATGTGAGCTCTAGCATTAGAGAAGTACTAATATAGATATTCCCTACCAGTCACAGATCTATGAATTTACTTCTGGCATTGTTTTACATTATATAGTTTCTTTTATACAGATGCCTGACTTTTCTTTCTTTCTTTTTTTTTTTTAAACAGTATTGCAGTTGAACCCAGGGTTTTCACTACATCCCCAATGCTACTGCCCTCTTTTTATTTTTTATTTTATTTTAATTAATTTTGTCTTTTTGAGACAGAGTTTCACTATGCCGTTCAGGCTGGCCTTGAACTCACTTTGTAGCCCAGCCTGTCTTCAACTTTCAGTGATTTTCCTGTCTCAGCCTTCCAAGTGCTAGGATTACAGACCTGTGTCACCGTACCTGGCCAGGGTCTCACTGAATTGCCCAATCTTGCCTTGAATTTGTGATACTCCTGCGTCATCCAGAGTGCTGTGACTATAGGTGTTCATCATGACACTCAGTTCCATTTTGTTTAATTTTGGCCACCAGTAGGAAATCAGTCCACCTTCTATATGCATTCCAGCTAATAGAAAAGGAAGGTGATTCAGAAGGATTATCATGGCAAAAGACTTCAGGCTACTAAAAGAAGAGAGGGCTTGAGGATTTAGTTCAGCAGCATAAGTGCCTGCCTGGCAAGCGCAAGGTCATAAATTCAACCCCCAGTACCAAAAAAAAAAAAAAAAAAAAAAAAAAAAAAAAAACCCTTCAGGCTGAAGTTTAAAAACAAAAGAATCCAATATCATTAGTTCTCTATTTACAATAAAAGGGGGGCTTGCCAAGGATGATTAATTACCAACTATAAATCAAAAGAACATAGGAACCTATATCTTTCCATAATATCCCTTATTGCAATGAAGGGATATATATATATTTTGTCCTTCTTCGAAACCTGTTAGAGCACAGTGTTTATATGTATCGCTTGTCCAAATCAGTGGTTCTTAGACTTTTTTGTGTCTTCCTCTGACACTCTCCTCTGAGTTCCCTGCCTTCAAGATTTCCTGCTGTTAAAGAAACGTAAAATGATCCTAGGTTCATTTTTCATCTGTCTTAGAAATAATCAGGTTTCAGCTGAACTATAGTTTTTAGGAATTGTACTGAGGAGGCACAGAAATGGCCTACAGAATGAGGAGCCACTTACTACAAAAGAGAAGTGAAAGGTCCTAGTGATGAGATTTGCAGTGGTGACCGTCCACCTACGATCAGGTTTGACTTGGAAAACGTGGATGTTCCCATCAGATAACCTCTTCCTTTCTGGCAACAGGTGTCTCCAGCCCAGCCAACTCCCAGTACTGGAGGACGCAGGCGGCGCACAGTGGATGAAGACCCAGATGAAAGGCGGCAACGCTTTCTCGAGCGCAACCGGGCTGCAGCCTCCCGCTGTCGCCAAAAGCGCAAGCTATGGGTGTCTTCATTGGAGAAGAAGGCAGAAGAACTTACTTCTCAGAACATTCAGCTGAGTGTGAGTGGATTCTGGAAGATAATTGGGGTTGTCGACCCTGGAAAGTGAGATTAAATCAGAAAAAAATGGGACAGTATAATTGAAGATGGTAGTTGTTTTATTAGGACAGACTAAAAAATTGTGCCAGAAAGAATGCAAAATCTCTTAAAAGAGTTGAGATCTCTTCCCTAGTAATTGGCAGACACTATCTACTATGAAATTTGTTACTTGGCCCATTTGGGTGAAAGGAATTAGAAAAGTACCCCAGGGTGCTTAAATCAGTAGAAATCAGGTGTAGCAGTGCATATCTGTGATCCCAGCACTCGGAAGACAGAGGAGGGGATTGCTGCAAGATCGAGGCCTGCCTGAATTAGCTAGTGTGATCCTGTGCCAAAAAACAAGTTTCTGCTGGAGACTTAACCATGGTTATGGAAGACCTACCTTATTTTTTAACAGACATATGTTAGTACATTCTATAGTGTGGTTATATTGTAGGGTATGACATGTTGTTCTGATCTTTTGCTAGAACAGTAATGCTGCAGTGAATATTGCATGCATTCAGGTAAAATCTGCTAAACAGATGCCTAAACCAGGTGTGGTGGCACACGCCTGTAATCCCAGCACTCAGAAAGCTGATGTACTCAAGGTCAGCCTAAGATACATAGCTAAATGGAGGTTAGCTTGGACTATGTAGCCAGACCCTGTCTCACAAATAAATAAATCAAAATACATTAGATACTTAGATGTAGGATTTGTTAGTAAAAGAGCATATAGAAGCCGGGTGTGATGGCACACATCTGTAATACCATCACTTGGGAGAATTTTAGTGAATTTCAGACCAACCTGGGCTACAAAATGAGCTCAAGGCCAGCCTGAACCACATATGAGACCTTTTCTCAAAAAGTTAAGGAAAAAAAAAAAGAAAAAGAAAAAGAGCATATAGATTATTAGCTTGAATATTACCACATTTGCCTAAGTAAGAGTGATTTTTCTATTACAAGTCCCTGCTTTTCACAGCAGGCAATTCTTGTCATTGAATTCATGACTGTACTATTAGCCCTATGCTGTCTGAAGTCTGGTTGGATCTGAAGTCTATTTCAGGGGCCGGGATTTCACTCAGTGGTGTAAGTACCAGCCTGGCAAGCACGAGGTCATGAGTTTGATCCCTGGTACCAAAAAAAAAAAAAAAGCCCTATTCCAGTTTGAGGAGAAAAACCAAGCAGTGTTCTGTTGTTACTCTGAGCTATATTGCTATTCAGAGTCCTAAGAGTAGAAACTAAATCTTTCTCAATACTCTTTTTCTCTCCCCTCTTCTCCAGAATGAAGTGACATTATTACGCAATGAGGTGGCTCAGTTGAAACAGCTACTATTAGCTCATAAAGACTGCCCAGTCACTGCACTACAGAAAAAGACTCAAGGTTATTTAGGTGAGTGGCTGAAAACCTGTGCAAAATTAGTTGGTAAATTGCATGTTCTGGGTCTCAGCTGTTTATAACTCCATCCTGAATGTGCCAGGAATGCTCAGACAGGTGGGTGAAAAGTCCTTGTACAGCAACCAGTTCTACCCACCCCCAAAAACGTTTTGACAATAATATACTTATCCTAATTATGTACCAAACTTAGGGACAGAGGTTAGTGATATTTACTGTTTTTTTAAGGGAGTCTATTATCTTCCCAGTTTTCTTATGAAATAGGTATTATCTCCAGTTACTTGTGAGAAAACTACTCAGATCACTTCCCAGAGGTTACACAATTAGATTTACATCCAGGTGTTTCTTATTCCAAAGACATTCCTTGGCCTGGAGAAGAAATACATAGCAGGTGATGCATTGGGAATTAAGGATGTGTTTTATTTTTCTAATGATAGGTCAATATTGGTTTTAGTTTGTAATCTATGAGCAAATACAAAATAGTGGAAGAAAGATACAACCACAGACTTATACTCCATGTAAATACAGTTTTGAAATTAATATTATTGTCAATCAACTAGGCCTTATAATGCCTCTGTGCCAACTCTGGGAAGCTGAGGCAAGAGGATTGAAAGTTTGAGCCCAGCCTGGGCTACCTAGAATGACTTTATCTCAAAAAAAGAAAAAAAATTATATATATATATATATATATATATATATATATATATGACTGGAGATACAGCTCAGTGCAGAGACCCTGGGTTCAATACCAAGTACTACCACAAAAAAAAAAAGAAGAAGAAAAAAGAAATTGCCATGAATAATTTGCTTATGGTAGTAAATGCTAATAGATGCCAGTTTTCCTTTATAAATTAACTTGATAAAAATGTCAACTATTAGATTTTGTTACATTGAATTATTTGCTACTAACCATCTTTATCATTTCAGAGATGTGTCCCATAGAAAAAGAATAACCACATCACCAATCTTTAAAATTCTCTATTTAAATTTTAATATGTACTTCAGGGTATATTCATTCATTAAGCAGATACTGATTGAGTGCCTCTTCTGTGCTGGGCACTATTTTACATGCTGATAATATCATAAGGAATCAAATAGATTAGATTAAAACTTTGCCCTTCAGAAGCTTATATTTAATAGTTGAGACAGACAATAAATAATATATGGTAGGTTAGATATTAGTAAAGAAGAAAAAACAAAACAATAAACAGAGATAGGTAATATGAAGTGTTGCCCACAGCACTAAAATTTTAAATGAGCTGGCTTTTGAATTAAGACCCAAGGAAGTTAGGAAACTAGCCATGGAAGAAAAGTGCTTCAGACAGAAAAACAACAAACACAAAGACCCAAGGAAGGGGAGTGAGCCTGCCTAGAAATTTCTAGGAACAGCAGAAAGGTAGCTGGAAGGGAGGCGTTCCTCATAGGGGCTTGTCAGTTATAGCAACCACCTCAGCTTTTACTGGATACCATTAGGGAGTTCTTGGCAGAGGAACAATATGACAGACAAAAGAATCACTTTGTTAGAGACATCAGGAGTGCACAGGCGAGGTGAGCAGTCCATCAGAGGCCACTGCAATATGCATAAGAGTCTTCTCCAGGATGTTGGTAGTAAATGTGAAGAAAAGGGATGAATTCAGGATATATTTTTCAGTCTTGAGTGGCAGGATTTGATTACAGCTCAGATGGAGTGGTATTTATGAAAAAAACTGCTCCAAAGTTTTTAGCCTGAGCAACTGCAAGAATAGAGTTGTCATTAATGGAGGTATAGAAAAGTTTAGGAGGAAATGGTCTGGGAGGTCCCTGAGGAGCTCAGTTTTGGACAAATGAGGTTAAGAAACCTGGTAGGCTTGGGGCTGGGGATTTAGCTCAGCGGCATAAGCGCCTGCCTTGCAAGCAGGCAGTCGTGGGTTCGATCCCTGGTACCAATTAAAAGGAAAAAGACAAAAAAAACAAAAAAAGAAAGAAAGAAACCTGGTAGGCTTGCAGAGAGACATGTCTGTTGGTCTGCAGTCAGAGGAGAAGCTAAAGATAACTTTTGAGAGTCAGGAGCAGATAGTCATTTTTGAAAACCAAGTATTTTCTCCCACGGGGGAGAGTATCTAGGAAAGAGAAGGACTGGACCCTAGGATATTCAGCATTCAGAGGTCAGAGAGATGAGAAGGGACCTACAAGATATTGAAAAGGTACAGCCAGAAAGGCAGAAATCAAACCTGCTGAGTAGCTGAAAATGGTGGTCTATAAATAAAGTTAAGAAAGCATTGTAAGGGGCTGAGGATTTAGCTCAGCAGCATAAGCACTTGCTTGGCAAGCACCAGGTTGTGAGTTCAATCCATGGTACCAAAAAAAAAAAAAAAGAAAGAAAGAAAGAAAGGAAAAGCATTGTAGCAGTTTCATGATCATCTGTTTCAAATCTTGTTTGTGAGCTAAGGGGGATGAGGACTGAGTGTTTTTCAGTAGTGAGTATGCAGCAATTTTTTGACTCAGGCTTTGCAGTGAGTCTGATGAGTAGTCAATCCGTTAAACAACTACTTTGTTAAAGCAAAGATGTGTGTAGTTCCTGCTGGGTGGCATCAACATTATGGTAACACTTGACACAAGACAAATGAGACACTATCCCCACCTGTGAGAGACTGGGGTCCTTGTAAACTGAAGTAAGGACAAATATCCAAGTCAGAACCACTGACAGGGAGCTTCCTGAAAACAGGTTCCCACTTTATATCCCAGTGCCTGGATGGTGGTCCATAACTATTTGATGAATAAATGAATGTATCCTCTGAACACATACAAGATGAAGCTATTGATTTCCTTAATGGTAACAAGGATTGTTCACAGAGGAGACAATATTTAATCCTAAAAGATGATTCAGGCATCAAAAGGTCAAAAATTATCCATGCATGGTGGCACATACCTATAATCTTAGCACTTGGGAGGCTGAGACAGGAGAATCATGAATTCCTTCCTGAGTTTGAGGCCATCCTGGAATACATAGGCTCTGTCTCAAAAACAAAAGAAAAAAATTTTTAAATTAAAAAAGGGCTGGGGATATAGCTCAGTGGCACAGCATGTGCCTGGCAAGCACAAGGTCCTGAGTTCAATTCCCAGTACAGATACCTAGATTAGATAGATAAATAGATAGATAAAAAATTAAGCCAAGCACAGTAATATATACTGGTGATCCCAGCACTTAGGGATGCTGAGGCAAGAGGAACCCAAATTTGATTCCTGCATGGGCAACTTAGCAAGACTGCCTCAAAATAAAAAACATAGCCAGGTATGATGGCACATGCCTGTATTCTCAGCACTCCAGGAGGCTGAGGGAGAATGATCACAAATTGAAGTCCAGTGTGAGCAACTTAGCAAGACTATTTCAAAACAATAATAACAAAAAATGTTTTTAACAGCCAGACGTATAGCTCAGTGCAAAGGCCTTCAGTGCAAACCAGCTACTACAAAAACAAGTAAAAATAAATAATATAAAAGACCAGGTATGTAGCTTAGTGGTAAGAGTACCCGTGGGTTTGACCTCATTACAGCATAAATAAATAAATAAATACAAGTTTAAAAATAAGTTAAAAAAACACAACCACCTGTATCCCTGATTCCACACATCTGTGCTTAACCAGTGATAGTGGCTGTCTAATGTTTGAGAAAACTTGACCAATGAAGTTATATGTAGTTTAGATATTTATATTTAGTAGTAAAACATTAGTGTCACATACACTAAATGTATGCGCATGTTGATAGCAGCGTAATTTATAATAGGTACATCTTGGGAGTAGCCCATACATCTATCAACAGATGAATGGATAAAGAAAGTGTGACACACACACACATGCACACACAATGGACTACTACTTAGCCATAAAGGATAAATTGCAGTCATTTTCTGGCACGTACCTATAGTCCCAGTGCTTGGGAGGCTGAGGCAAGAGGATCACTGCAAATTCGAAGCCAGTCTGGGCTATATACTGAGTTCACTGTCAGCCTAGACTATATAACAAGATCCTGTATTTTAAAAAAAAAAAAAAAAGCCAGAATTCTAGGGAGTTCTCCCCCAAAAAAGATGTTTCATTTTCCTTTCTCGTCCTTTGAAACTATAGCAGAAGTTATTCCTGCCTATGTCCCTATTCTGTTTTCTAATCTCATGCTTTCTGCACTTTGCCCTCCTTCCTGGCAGAGAGCCCCAAGGAAAGCTCAGAGCCGACTGGTTCTCCAGCACCTGTGATTCAGCATAGCTCAGCAACAGCACCTAGCAATGGCCTCAGCGTTCGATCTGCAGCTGAAGCTGTTGCCACTTCAGTCCTCACTCAGATGGCCAGTCAAAGGACAGAACTGAGCATGCCAATGCAGCCACATGTGATCATGACCCCACAGTCCCAGTCTGTGGGCAGATGATGCCTCCCCTGGTGGAGAGGTCCCAGCTGGAGCTCACCCGCCCAAGAGCCACGAGAGATGTCATCCTACCCCCTCCCATCTGCCTTGGACATGGCAACATGGGGGGCAAAATTATGTGTTGTGAGTATGGATAGACATGGGGCTTTTCTCTTAGCCAGGTGGTCATGTTTGCTTGATACTTGTACTGGGGGCATTCCCCCCTCCAGAGCCACATAGATACCCCTCAGGGTGGGGTTTCTGATGTACTCACAGCCACAGACCTACCCTGATTGAGCAATCACCCATGCCCCACGCACGTGTGTCTGTCTCTTTTAACACTAACCCTGGCACTTCTAGGTTTGGGGTTTCTCGGTTTCTTCTCACTAAGCTGTGGCTGTTACCTTCTTCCTTACTAGCATGCCAGTTCCTGCCAGACAGAGGAAGGCTGACCCATCCTTTGCCCTCCATGGACTCAGGACTTTGTCTCCCAGTAGCTACTAATTTCTACCTTTTTCCCCTTTCCAAATTCTAGTTAAAACATTCACTTATGGGGCTAGGGATTTAGCTCAGCTGCATAAGTGCCTGCCTAGCAAGCATGCAGTCGTGAGTTTGATCCCCAGTACCAAGAAAAAAAAAAACATTCACTTATGGAGAATGTAAGGTTACTTCTGATGTATGAAATAACAGTATTTTTCAGCTCTCCCATGAACTTTATTTCTTCTCAGTACCTGCTACCAAAAAACTAAAAGGCAAAGCAAAAAGAAATAAGCAAAACTCCAAGAGTTCTAGTCGTTTTTCATCTATTTCCAGAATTATCTGGGTACCTCATTTTGTCTCTTGACTTGACTTTCCCTGGTCTAGGATCTCCACTAAGCCTTGGCAACCTCATCTTGTGGCCTTACTGTTAAGCATCACTTGGCAGTGAAAAGGGAACTAGGCAGGGATCTGACTAGTGATTCCCTCTCCCTCTATCCTCCTTGACTTGCAATCATCAGGGCAGACAGGAACAATAGCACTTAAAACTTGTTCCATCAGGTTACTGGATTAACTGATTCTTTTGTTTCACTAGAGTTTACTGGCCAAAGTTAGGCACGTTGTCATGTCTGGTCATCTTTATGCTCCTACCTCTCTCTTCATTCCCTGTCCACTTGACTGCCTTTCTCCATCCACTTTAATTACTCAGTCAGCCTTCCTGAAGACTGTCTCATGGGGCACTCGCGTTCTTTCACACTTCCTCCATCTCACAGACTCAGTTGTGTCTTTTCTGAGCTATATTCTGTACTCCTCAGTGTCCGTCACTTCTACACTACTTTCTCTCTCTCACAAGAGTTCTTCCTGGCCTGGCACAGCTCCTTCAACTCATTTCTGTTCTCTACCCCCACAATGCAAAATTACTTCTTCTTGATACAAGCTCCAAGACTGAAGCATAATAACCAAGGTCCTGAGTGGCTTGAGAGCGAGCTCAGGTGGAAGAGAGGGAGGGAGAGAGGTGCGGTACTGATCTCAGCAGGAAAGCCCACGGCCGGCCTGTCTGGGAAAATGTAAACTATGGCTCTCAGCCATTCTTACTTTAGAGTTGGGCTGCAGAGGAAGAAATCCATTCCCCTGTTCCTCTTCCTTCACCATTAGGACTTCTTATCTTCCCTTGGCTCTGAACTAAGCAGTTTTTACCAGGACAAGAGGACAAAATCCAAAGCCAGAGGCTTTGGATAGGTCAGCTTTAATAACCCCTCAGTGCGAAGCCTTTCCAGTTGTCCCAGGGCCACCTGCTGCCATCTGCCAAAGCCAAGGATGTCCTTTTCTCCATCTCCTTCTGCTTCCATCTTAAACATACAGTGTAGCTGTCAGTTTCCTTTCTTATTTTGTCTTCCAAAACTGGCTGTCAGTAGGGAATGAGAAAATGTTCTAAGCCACAAGATTCCCATCTCTTCAGAATGGTACACTGGTGAGCCAGTCAGATGATGCACCCTGCTGCATTTGTTGGAAATTTCCCCTCCTGCTCTTCAGACTTGGTGCTGAACAAACCACACCTGGTGAAGACAAAGGAGAGAAAACACGGTTTTCTTATTCCCTAACACCAGGCACCCAACAGGAACAGCCCTGAGGTGATACGACTAGCAAATGTCAGGCAGATGGTCAGGACACAGTTCTACCTGCAGGGACTTTGATTGCCTTGAAACAGTCACAGCCATAACTTGCGCTCAGGGCCTCTCCTTCAGATGGCTGCTCCACGGCTTTTTTTTTTCCATTTTTGAGTCTTGTTTCATTTCTTATTGTCCTCATTTTCCACTAGCTGCTTTACCCTACAGCATGACAAAGTTTATGGCTCCTAAGGAGCTTCTTCATTAGACCTTTGACTATTTTTCTTCCCCCTTCAGTCAAGTGTTTTTAAAGTTAGAATCCATTTGTCACTGCACACATACCCTGCCAGTCTCTCCCTGTGTTGAACAGCTCATCCTTATAGAGGGATGTTTGTAGTTTCTTAGCCCCCATACATAATTTTCTTGAGTTTTTAATTTCATTTTCATCAGCAAGAGCTTAGTAGTGGATTTAAATGAGGGCCATTGCTAGAACCATAGTAGTGAGGCAGAAGAAAGGAAGTGGTGAAAGGAAGAAGGTGCAGGACAGAACCCCAGGGGCTCTGTAGGTAGCCTCGGGTCTCACTGAGAAGGCAGCACAGTCGCTCGCTCTGAAGCCTCACATTTGGCTAAGGCGACCATCACTCACCTTGTTATTGCTGCCAGCCACCATGTGGTCACTCTCCCCTGATCTTAACCTTCCAGGCTTACGTGGACTAGAACCAGATACTATACAGGGTATCATTCAGTCCTTCTCAAGGCCCATGGGCTTCCTGGGGTTAATGGGAGGGCTCTTTTGAAAAGAAGCCAAATGTGGATATCTTGGGATTCTTCCAAGTGAACACAGTACTCAGGCTCCCACCTCACTCCAGGCCAGAGAGAAAAGGGTGAGAGCCAGGTCTTCTGGTCTGCACACCCTTTGCTCACTCCCTTAAGAGAAAGCTTGCGTAAAGCTGAAAAGGCTGAGACAGCCTCTCACCCAACTAGGAGGACTAGAAAGATTACATCCGTCCTTTGCTCATGCTTTCCTGTCAGTTAGACACCCCATATTCCGCCTCCTTCTGCTTGGCGCTATAGTAGCCCGTGTACTACAGGGGTTTGTTAAAGAGCAGCTGGGTCAACTGAACTTCGCCTTGCCTATCCCTGTTGTAGCTCTCAGCTCCTTTTTTGACTGGCCTCTCTGCCTCCTGGAGGGTCTGCCCTCCAGCACCACCATCCTGTCCTAGGAGATGGAATGCTTCACCTACCTGTGACCCAGCAGGCACCAAAAGCCCTGCCCCGCTGTCGCTGTCGGAGGCTCCCTCGCTCCACCCGACCCACTAAAACAGCGCCCTTTCATGACTCCCTTTCCATCAGTTTCCCATTAATATTCTACATTTTATACACAGGGAAGAAATGGTTTTGTTTTTTTTTCCATTTCATAACCAATCTGTTTAGATTTCAGTCCTCCTAGCTGTATCATGTATCTCTTTTGTTGATATGCTCTTCTGCTTTCTTTAGACTTAATGTTTGACCCAGGTGGGAGTTGTGGATAGACAGGACAGGTGAGGATCCCTGTGCCCCACTACAGCTTTCTTAATCCTTCACCTCTCCAAGCACAGGGCTGAGTTGTTCGTATCCGCAGACAGATGTGCATAGACATAAATCCCCACCCACCAGCAGGCATGTGCATAGGTGACTGCTGGCGAGCATTCCCACCCTCTGCACTAGTTGAATTTTCTTTTTTGAGGTAAAATCCTACCTTAAGATGAGAAAAGGCTGAGGGGAAGGGACAAGTTAAGGCCGCTTATGTCCTTTTTAGATGTGTTTAGTTACTAAGGCTTTTTTTAGTTTTTTTAAATGGGGGTGGGCAACAGCACCAAGAGAGCTTTCCCCAGCTGTTGGTGACTAATGTTTTAGCTGTCAGTGACCATGAGCACTACTGTCACTGACTTTACCTTAGGGGAGTGGTTTTCAGAAAATGGTCTGGGACCACCAGCAGAGCAGTCTTACCTGGAGCCTGCTAGAAATGCACATTCTCAGCACACCCCAGCTCTCCTGAATCACAAACACTGGGGGTGGGTTTCAACAAGCACTCCAAGTGCTCCTGATGCACACTAATGTTTGTAAACTGTTGCCTTGGGGACAACCTGGGATCTTATAAGGCACTAAGGATTCTTTAAATTCTATCCTCTGCCTTAGCACTGACACATTTTTCCATTTCTTCCAGTTCCTCCCCTCACATCATTAAAACAGCCACCACCGCATCACTCATGTCAAATTCTGGATTTATCTTCCTTCTAATCTTATTGCTAAAACTTGTCCCTGTGTCAGTCTCGAAAATTCTCTATTCCCTTGCAGTCTGGTCACTTGTGTCTTGGTTACATTACAGACCAGCCCCAACACACACACACACATTACACACACACACACACACACACACACACACACACCAGGCAGGGAGGAGATAAGCCTTGTGTCTTGGTTACATTATAGACCAGCCCCAACACACACACACACATTACACACACACACACACACACACACACACACCAGGCAGGGAGGAGATAAGCCTTGTGTCTTGGTTACATTATAGACCAGCCCCAACACACACACACACATTACACACACACACACACACACACACACACCAGGCAGGGAGGAGATAAGCCTTGTGTCTTGGTTACATTATAGACCAGCCCCAACACACACACACACACACACACACACACACACACACCAGGCAAGGAGGAGATAAGCCTCCAGCCCTGACAGTGGAGGCTGCTGCATTCTTGTGTAGTATCTGTGAAGAAGAAAGCAGTGTGTATCTGATTGTATTTCTGTTCATCTATATATTTTTGACATGTGGCAACCCCACTCCATCTCATCAGGGAACTCCGCATGCCCTGGGTCTCCCCAGGCTCCAGCGGTGATCCTGTCAGGTGGGAGGATGCAGTGCCACTGGCCCTTTTGTTACAAGCCCAACATGCCCCTTGCCACCACCCAGTTAGCATGACCCCTGTGAGCAGGCTCTCACAGTCTCCTGGGTGGGGCGAGGCAGGGGCTCTGCGCTCTTCTCCCTAACCAGCGCCCTTTCTTTCCTTCCCCTTTGCCACTCAGCAGTTACCCCCAGCCATGCCTTCTCCCTCCTTCCCTCCCTCCCCAGCCCTGACATATATTGTGCCTTATTTATGCTGCAAATATAACATTAAACTATCAAGAGAACCACTGGTTTGTCTGATGCTTTACTACCCTGACCCCCAGTCCCTATTGCCACTCTTCTGGGGCCTCACCGGACTTTCACATTGTGAGCTTCCCCACTCTTCCCACTCTTTGGGCAGATGGGGGACTCTTGCCCCTGCCACCTACAGGTGACCAACTCATGTGCATTACACAGCATATGACGGCAGGCACAGCTCTGACCAGTGAGCTGCCTCGGGGACCAGGGCCCATGTGTGGGTGACACACTAGAAAACGCAGTGTGCTGGGGGAGGGGATGGGTCTGAAGGCAGACATCTCATCTTCCAGTGTTTTGTCCCCATACCCTCCCAGCAACTGGGAAAAGAGAAGAAGCTCTGCCCTCGAGGACTTTCCAGCGGGAGTGTACACAGAGAAGTGAAGCTTTGTACAGGGAGGAGGTTGTTTTGGAAGTGAAGGGCAGTTTGTGAACATGTGGGGATGTGTTCGTAAGAAAATGGGTGAAGCTTAGAGACTTGGGGATGGAAGTCTCAAGGAATCATAGAATTCCTTACATTTGGATGTTCCTTTCTGATTACCAAAAGTAAGACTAGGGCCAGAGTGAAGAACCTGACACAGCAGGTGCCTCTGAGGTTTCCCACAGGAGACAAGAAATAAGAAGCTGTGGCCATACCCCCCCCCCACTGCTAAATTTGACTGGCTTAAAAAAAAAAAAAAATAAGCAGCTATGGCTGAGCCAGGTGTGTGGTGCACACCTGTAATCCCAGCACTTGGGGAGGCTGAGGCAGAAGGATTGTTGTGAATTTGAGACCAGCCAGGGCTACAAAATGAGCTCAAGGCCACCCTGAATGGCATAGAGGGACCCTGTCTCAAAAAGATAAAGAGAAAAGAAACAGCTGTGGCTGGTATTCAGTAATCAACTGACATAAACAGCCAGATCTTTCTTCGGCTGTGCAGATGGCAGTTGTGGCCTTCACCACGTTGTCAGGAGCACATAGGGTCCAGGAAAGGGTGAAAAGGAAGATTGCCAAATGTCAAGTTTTTGGGAGCAAGGAGGCAACCCTGAAGGCCGAGCAGTGTCGCAGGTTAGGCATAGCGAGCTAGACCAGCCTCCACATGCAGCCTCTGCTCAGACCCCTTGAGACCTGTACATACTCAGGGCCATGAGGAGGGGAAGCCCGCTCTGGGCGAGATGGAACACTCAGTCCTGTGCCAGTCACAACAGTGTCCTGAAAACAAGTTGCTTCATTTTATTGATGGTGAGCCCTATAGTAAAAGTCACACAGTAAAGTGCAAGGCAACATAAAAACAGTTCTGTCACTCCCAGAACCACAGTTTGAAATACCCCAGCCACCCTCACATCCTGCTTCTCTGGACTAGGTGCTAGACACAAACAGATCAGGACCAAGACGTAATGCAGAAGCAGCTACCCTTGAACTTGATACTTGAACTTGATACTCCTTTTTAAGAAATGAACTACAATCACCAGACATAGTAGAGCACACTTGTAATCCCAGCACCTGGAAGGCTGAGGCAAAAAGACTGCCACAAGTTTGAGGCCAGCCTGTCACATGCTATGTCACACATTGTGAGTTCAAGGTTGGTCTGACTACATAGCAAGACCCTGTCCCCAAAAACAAACAAACAAACAAAAAAATGATCTATAGCTGGGAGTGTATGATGGCACACACTTCTAATCCCAACACTTTTGAGGCTGAGGCAGGAGAATCGTCAAGTTCAAGGCCAGTCTGGGCTACCTACAGAGTTCAAATCCTGCCTGAACTATAACATAGGGAAACCCTGCCTCAACACCAGCCTCCATGGACACCTACCCCCCAAAAAGAAAAAACTACAAGCCAGACATGTTAGTGCATTCCCATTGTTCCAAATCTCTGGGAGCCTGAGATGATCACAAATTCAAGCCCAGGCTAGGCAACTTTGTGACTTAGACCCAATCTCAAAAAGGGCAAGACATATTGTTCAAAGTCCCTAGGTTCACCTTAGTACCACTCAAATGACTAGGACACAGCTCAGTGATAAGAGCATTTGCATACTATGTGTAGTGTCCCAGGTTCAATTCCTAGCACTGCTAGAAGACAAAAGCCTGCTATAATCTACAGATTTCAGGTGGAAGAGAAACTCTGAAGGGCTTTTACACACAAGATATCCTGTGATGTCTGCTGGAGAAAACTGAGACCCATGGCAGAAGCCACAGGGAGACGGAAGCCAACTCAGCACAAAGAGAAAATGATTTAAAGGCAGTCTCAGGTGACGGTAAGTTTCCCCGGGTGGTGTGAGGGAAACCTGCTCTATGCCAGAGCCTGTGCTGAGCGGATTACAGCGGGCATCAAAATGCTTTGAAGTCCCGTGTTCTAAGTGAAGAATCGACAGTGAACAGCTTGCCCAAAGGCTGTGTCAGAGCCATTTGCAGCTCCGCCATGCACACACAGAAACACACACACACACACACACACACACACACACGGTGCACTACACTTCCTCTGTATAGGCTGGTGTCCCACACTCTGGATGCAGGGGAAGGAGATGCAGCACAGCAGAAAGCCACCAGATTTCTTTGAAACCCTGCTTCCTGAGGAGTAATTCAGATTTCCTTAAGACAGGATTCTTGTCGTCTTCCTCAGTACGTCAGATCCGTAGCCAGGGAGATGAAACAAAAGGACAGTGCAGCCCCAAGGTCCTGTTACTCCCCTTGGAGTCAGGGCCTCAGGATCCTGAGCCTCCCCATCCTATCCTTAGGTTCCTCCTTTAATAAAGCCCTAGCTAGAAAAAGGAGTTTGACCTGGGAGTGAGCAGCAGTGGCCACAGGGTGGCAGCAGAGCTTCAGCTACAGAGCCCAACTCCCAAACAGTGGGGTTTTGCATTTTTTTCCCAAGAAGTGTTCTTCAGTGATGGTGGCTGTCCACACTCTGTGGGCTCCAAATCCTCTCCATGTCCTGTATCTCACTATCCCATCCACAGCCTAATCTCAGAGTAGTGAATCCATGTTTAACCATCTAAGAGGTGGTGAACAGAGCTGAAACAGGCTGTGTGGCTGACTTCCATCCCAAGGGGTAAGGGGGGACCCAGCTGGGTCACCCGCCCCGCCCCCCCTGCAATGGAGAGCCTTGCCCTAACACCTGTCCCTCCTCACAGCAGTTTATGCTTCAATCTACAAGTTACGAGAGAGGTGATCAGTTGAAGGTCTCCAACCTGTTGAGGGATTAAGGGTTTTTGTAAGGCCCCACCAGGGCCTGGCTCTGACAATGCATCCATACTTAATGATGCTTCTTCAGCTCTAGAGACAGGATTTATGCATCTAATAAAGTCTGTAACTCCAGGCTTCGGGGCTGGGGGCGGAGACTTTGAGAGCAGCAAGTCCCAGAGAGAGCCATGGGAGGGGATCTCAGGCAGCTCTTAATGAAGCCGTGCATTTCCACTGCCTGTCTAGACTCCCCCCTCGGGCTGCTGCTGGGGGTTGGGGACAAGAGGACAGCAGGTATAAGAGGCTGGTGTGGCTGTGGGAAGGAGGATGGTAGCATGGATTCCAGGCAGGCGGCGGCGGTGCTGCTGGTACTGCTGCTGACAGTGGGCTGGGCCTATGCTGAAGGACCAGGGGGGCAGCACAGCGACCAGGTCTTCATGGTGAGCAAGCTCCTGGCCTCCACATCACCATTTTCTTCTACTCCACATGGGACTTGTGCTCCAGGCTTAGGTGCTCCCTGGTCATCAACTTCATTAGGTCTCACACCTGAGGGAGATGGTACCTCAGCCTCTAAAACCTACCCTTGGAGGTCACTCCCTTCCCATTGTGTCTTTAGTGTCCTGGGCATCTGCCATCTTCCCTCCCTGTTGCCCCTGCCTTAGGAGGAAGACATTGGACCCCACCCACGGCAGCGTGCCCAGACCCATGGGTCCCTCCTGCACTCCCTGCTCCAAGCCATGGAGAGAACTGGCCGGAGCCCAGCCTTCCTGTTCCAGCCCCAGAGGTGAGTCTGAAAGCGACATATGCACAGCAGGGGCTGGGAAGACCAGGGGACAGAAGAGGATAGGGAAGGGGGCTTGACAGGAGAGACTTCAGGGAGCTGTATGCAGATGAATCTCTCCTCAGGTTTGGCAGAAATACCTGGGGGTCCTGGAATAGCGAGCGGCTGAGTCCCCGAGCTGAAGAATTCTGGAGCCTAGCTGCCCCTCAGCGCTTTGGGAAGAAGTAACATCATCTCCTGGTGTGTTTGCATGCAAGGCCTACACCCCAAAGTGCCATGTCACCCCAACCTCAATAAAGCTGTCTGCTTTGGAGTCCCTGTGTCTGAGACTTCAGAGGGCTAGAAAGAGAGCCCTGGGCACAAACCACTGCCCCTCCACCTCCACCATACCAGACTCCAGCAACGCAGCTGACAGTGTTCCCCAGTCGCCTGCCTGCAGCAGCGAACACGTGAATTAGAGGGGCAAGAAGCAGACAGCACAGAAAGGAAGGAGGGTAGTGCTGGCCTGTGCCACCCACATGACTCAGGGCCATACAAAGAACAGGATTTATGAAACCAAGGAGTATACATTTATTCTGGACTCTAGCAGAGCCTCAATTTCCTTCCTAGGCTCATCATCATCCACAGAATGAGGACGGAGACCAGGCTGACTGAGGCCCTGTGGTCCCTGGCCCCTTGCCCAGTGCCCTCCTCAGCAAAAAGGCAAGTAGTCCATGTCAGAGGTAGAGATGGCACCTCCACAGGGTACCAGAGGGGGGAGATGCACGGGCCCAGAGGCAGAAAGAGCAGGGAGCAAGCAGGGGCGCGCATCTGTGAATCCAGCTGGGGCTCTACTTGCTGCCCGCCATGATCTTGAGGTACTGCAGGGCACGGCGAGCAGCCTCGCCCCGGGCTTCCTCCCTGGTGGTCGCAGAGCCATGACACACAGTGGCTGGCTGGGTGGACAGTTCCACTAGGCACTGGCAGAGCCCACTCACGCTCAGCTCCTCTGAAGAGCAAAAGAGAAAAGGGAGGCAGTGTTGGGAGTAGGGAGCCAGCACTGGGCAAGGGTGCATCCAGCAACCTCCTTACACTTGGTCCAGTCCCACCCTCCCCTGGCCCCTCAACAAGCCATACCAATGTCCAGGTAGCTGACGTGGAAGGCTTGTTCCTCCGAGAGCTCGCTGAGGACACTGCAGCAGCCAGAGCCCAGAGCACCTAGGGAGCCCGGAGAGCAACTTCGAAGGTACAGGATCTTTTCTCCCTCGGAATTTCGCAGAGAATCCCATGTGCAGCCTGGGCCCCGGCTCCGAAGTCCATCCAAGTGGGAGCCCACACCCTGACAAGATGTGGCAGTGAGAAAGATGCCATCAAGGGCTGCAGGACCAAGGCATTCTGATAGTCAATGTCACAGTTGAGGCTATTGGGATTCAAGGACCTATGAGCCCTAGGTCTGGTAGGAAACTGACACAGATGCAGTCCCAGGACCTAGACAGGGTCCTTTCCTGAGTCCCAAACCCAACCCCTAGTGCCCCCCACACACAAGCCACTCACAATGGAAAAGTGATCGTCATCGGGCTCCGCCTCAGTGCCATCCCGGGCATCCAGAGGCACTGTGTGCACTCGGAGCAGCATCTTAGCTGCCGCGTTACGCTTCGCCAGCTTTTTGGAAGTGCCACTGCCTGCATGTGGGGAGAGCAATGCTGGATTCTGATCCCCAACAGACCGACCGATTCTTTCCACCCAGGGCATACGTGGAGACTCCCCTAAGTGAAGTTAACTGGATAGGGAAGCTCAAGGCTGGCCCATGCACCCGGGAACCTGGTTGGTCACAAGAGAAGGGGAAAGACAGTACTAGGTAGAAGCCAGAAGACGCTAAGCCAGGAGCCACAAAGCAAGGAGAGGGACAGCATAGCACAGCAAGCCTAAAGACACCTTATGCCCAGGCCGGACTGCTGTGGAGAAAGGAGATGTAAGAAGTCCCTTCTGCCTAGTTACCGATCTCAATGAAACGCTCCACTCGACAGGTCATGGTGAACTCTTTTCGGTGGGCAGGTCCAGACTCCTGGGTCACTGTGTACTCTGGCAACCGCCAGCCCTTCTGTACCACCAGCTCCTTGGAAAGGAGACACAAGGAACACAAGGCTCAGTGAGAAAATACTCATCGTGACCCTGTTGGCACCTAAGAGGTTCCAACTCTCAATGAAAGGAAGGCGAGAAGGTACAAAAAGGGCCTGAGCTCGAGGTTCCCACCCTACCCACAAACACTCGGTCTGGGAAGACAAGCACACACGGCCGACGAAGGCACACACCTGCAGAGCACCAACGGGGTTGCACTCAGACTGCTGAGGGGAGACAGGGGGCTGCATCTCCATGGGGGAGCTCCTAAAGGAAAAAGGGCTCAGGCCAAAGCTTCAGAGAATGGCTCTCCCTGGGCTGCCTGTGAGCCCCAGTGTTAACCACTGCTTATTTTCCCATTCCCACTAAGGGCCACTGTCTGTCCAGACATCTAGCCTTATTCCCTCCCTCTCCAATGAGGGTCCCTCAGGGTTCCAGACGCATTTCTTCTTTTGTTGTTTTTTTCAAGACAAGGTCTCATTATTTTGCCAAGTCTGTCTCAAAACTCACAATCCCCCTGCCTTAGGTTCCTGAGTGCTGGAATTATAAGCGTATGCCACCAAGCCCAGTTCCCAGGCACATTTGATTCTGGAATAGTTGGTGTCATTTCCCTTAGACAGTGGGAGAGGTGCTGATGGCCAGGATCCAGAAGCACCTGATGAGTCTCAAACAGGACATTACGTGACCAACCCCAAAGGAGGGAAGGGGCTGAAAGACTTTAAATGGCCTGATGGCATCGATATGGCTTCTCATAAATCACAAATTACCTCCTGCCTCAAAAGCTGACCAACTGCCACAAATTCTTTAAGCACTGGTCCCCACTATTCCATTCCCTGTATATGCTCCCTGTATATTCCTCATGCCTTATCAGCCTGGGTCTAAGCAATGGGGACCAGAAGCCAAGACCCCCTCATTCTCTTCAGAGCAGTCAGGGTACACAGATACCTTGTCAGGACAGCCAATGGAACAGGAGCAGCAATGGCCACAGTGGTAAAAACAGGAGCGTCCTCAGGCAGTGAAGAGTCTGGAGGAGAAAAAGAACTTCCCGAGGGGAAGGAGGCCTTGGACTCACACCCACATGCAGGGAAAGAGAGGAATGGGGACCCATCCCTTAACGGAACCACACTCAAGAGACTCAACAACAGCTCTTCTTCCTAGGATCTTTCACTACCCACTCTGACCCAAAAAGACTTGAGAAAAAGAGATCTCTGAAAAGAGTAACCACATGAATTCAAGAACCATGGGAAAAAACTCCACCCTGAACGTGGAAGAGGAAAGGACATCTTGTTAGAAACAGGAGGCACACTGGGGAATGCCCCCTGTCAGCTTCAGCTTCCTCCCTAACCCATGCCCCAGCTATAACCACAACCCCTCCAAGGGGCTGGCTATTCCCCCGAGAATTCTTCACAGCAGGAGAAGCCCTGGAAATACTTGTTTCCAGTTCACAGGAAACTCTCAGGAAGGAGTCAGGTCAATGTGGCCAAACGTCACTAAGGCCAGACCTGCAGGGACACGGAGGTGGTGCAGGACCTGGGTTCCTGGAAGGGCTACTAGGGTGCCTTGGCTGTTCCTCCCTCACCTGCTGTCCTCCAGAGCCGATTCCAGCATGCTCCCCCCTTTGAGGTGTTTGAGGGCCACCTCAGCGGCCTTGTGCTTGGCTGCCTTCTTGCTGGGTCCCTGACCTGAGAGAGGGGTGTGGGCAATACTGGAAGTCACTGGAAGGACAAAAGAGAAACGAGCATCCCACAGCCTCTCTCCTCACAGCCAGAGGAAGTCAACCAAGCCCCCTCTGACCAACCTCCCCTTGCCCGGAACTACATTAGGTTCCATTGATTGCTGGAAGGAAAGGCTCTTGGCCATTAGTTCCCAGAATTAGGCCTCAAGAAGTAATACTTCCGAGTTCAAACACTTTAGGGGGAGTTTCTTTCTGTGCTATTTTCCTCTTCAGATTACTTTCTTTTCCTTCAATAAACAGAAAGCTGAAAAACAGAGGATAAACTCTGCAAAGACCACTTCCTGCCACTTACTAGGCATGGGACTATGCACCAGTCCCTCTGTCTCTCATATTCAATATCCTCCTATTCAGCATGGGATACAGCACAGCAAGCATTCATTCCTCCCAGTGTCCACTGAGAATTCAGTGTTCCTCTGGGACAATGACAATCTGCCAAATCCCTGGGCAGTCCTACCCACCTTACAGCCCTGTTCTCCCAATCCAGTCAGAGGCTTTTCCCCTGACACCTCTCCTTCCCTCACTCGCCTTAGAGAACTGTGAAGAGAGACACTAAGATACAAAGCCATAGAGGCCCTTGAATGCGCACCCCAGCCAGGCTGCCCAAGCCTTCCTCACCAGTGCAGCTGGTGTCGCCAACGGTGACCCGGAAGGTGAAATTAGGCTGGTGGGCTTGGCCCTCGGCTTTGAGAAGGTCGTACACGGGCGTCTTCCCTATTCTGGTCCCATACTCCTGCAGAAGGCTGATCGGGGTCTTGCCCGGGTTGACGGCCAGCATTTGCTCTATACTGGGGGGAGGGGCACAGACCCACATCACACCTCCCCCCTGTACACCCACCTGGCCAAGCACTGCCACGCCAGACCTTGGCACATTATAGGGAACATAGGGGTCGAGGAGGCCTCAGACAGTAGAGCACCCAGTGGCTGGGTTTAAAGTGGGGATGCAGCTGGAAAGGCAGGGTTCACTATCTCAAGGCAGGTGAGAAATGCACTGTTGCTGTCTCAACGCTAAGGATCCTGTCCCCAGTACTCTTTGCAAGAGCATGCCCCCTGATACGGTGCAGGACAGGAACCTAGTACCCACCAAATGCACTGAATGTGGGGGCATAAAGCCCAATGATCCAGTGCAGCCTGGGAACCCGGCCAACCCAAACTATTTAGAGCTGGAGCCTGTGGCCACTGCCCCAGTGCATGCCGGGAACCACTGCCCACTACCCCAGTGTTTGCTGGGAACAACCCTTAGGCCAGGTGCATGCTGGGGCCGCGCCGCTAACCCTCCGCACCTCTCTACATTTTTCGCCTTTCAGGGACCGGGACGAAGCGGCTCACCTGGGCAGCCCGCAGCCCGTGGTAGTGCCAGAGCCCTGCTCCTCTTCACTCATTCCCTCCTCCGTCCCCGCAGTCGCCACCGTGACTACAGCCTCCACGCGCCCCAGTACACCGCCGACGAGCTAGGGCCGGGGCCAAGCCCGGAGTCGCGGCCGGTAGGGCCTGCCGCGGGGCATGCTGGGATATGGAGTCCCCCGCCCACCTAGCTTCACAAGTCTCCATCAAGAGGGATGCTACCCGCCCCACAACCCTTCGCGCGGCTCGCCGGGGCTGACCGCACCGCCTTCTGGGAGGAGCGGACCCCTAAACTGTGGGCGGTACCGCCGCTCCTGGCGTCCGTGAAGCTGTGAGCATGCGTACTGTTGGAGTGGAACCGGCTGGGGGTGGGGCGGTAAGGTCTGACAATTCGAGATTGGGGCCTTTTGAACCCTAGAAAACTACAGAACCCAGCAGCTCTCACATCTTTGTCGCAGCTGGAGGGACCGGTTCTAACAACCAGGAGGCTTCGCGGCGTTACTGGTCATTCCAATTACGTTGACTTCCTCTAGACGCTTTGAGATTGGTTACTTGGCCTAGAGGGGCGGGGACAAGGGACGAGGCAGGCCCCCCCCACCGTTGACCCGCCTCCTTCCTGGAAAGGGTTTTGATTGGCCCAGGAGGCTGCCGGAGGATCCTGGCTGTTTGCTGTCTGCGAGGGTGGCTCTTACCTGGACGCTAGAGGGAGCTGTTCTGTATCTCAACCCCGAGGGCTCTAGGGCCGTGGTAATCCAAGTTGGTGTCAAACAGTTGTCCGTCTACCCCAGGATAAGCTTCTGACTCGCAGGCCTCCGTGTCACAGAACCCGTTTCGTTTCCTTTTTCTAGATTGTCCTTGACCTCCCTTCCTTTAATTAACTCTGCACACAGCCTGTTGGATTTGGCGTCTCTTCTAAAGCCTTTTTAGATTAGTCCTACTGGGCCCCCTCTTTAACTGTCCAGGAATCTGGGACCCAAGAAACGGTCTGTAGGGACACAAAATTAGGATTCAGGCACCTGGTATCATTACCTCTGCTGTGAGTCTTGAGTCTCTCAGTTGAAGAGCAAGAGACTGGTCCAGTGATGCAGAGCCCCGTGCCCTCCCCCAAAGCCTCACCACCACTGGGCTGAAAGATGTAAGGAAATCTGACCTTGGATAGAAATTGCTAAAAGTGGCTGATTGCAATGAGTGCTTTGAAAATGGGGAGGGGAGACGCAGAGGAATCTTGGAATGATAATGAGGGGTCATCCAGGAACACTTAGAGGGGGAGGGGGCCTACAGCTAAGTGGATTCCAATTGGGTGAAATTGGAGTGGTGACAACCAGGGGAGGCAGTGCTGGCAAGATCAGTAGGATAGGGGGAGTAATGCCAGAGCATTGGGGATCCCACCCGAGGAGCTGCTCTCTCTGGGTATAGAAAGAGACTATTAAAGGGTCATAGGCGGCTACTCAGCATAGGGTGCGAGGTGAAACCGCCCGTGGGAGATCGCCAGCAGGAAGGCGCGAGGCCCGGGACCGGCCTGGAGTGCCGCGGATGGCAGCGGCGGGCTCCTTTAAGAGGCCGGCGGCTCCAGCGCAGCATCCCCCGCTCAGGGCGTGTCCGTCCCGGGGGGCCAGGGGCGGGGGCTTGGGAAGGAGCGGGAGTTCAAGCAGCGCGGGGACGAGGCTAGGGGCCAGGGGTGGGGGCAGAAAGCTGGGGCTGACATCCTTGCCCCTGGACCCTGCGCGAGCATCGCCGGTGACAGCGCCCTGGGTCCGGTCGAGGGCAGCAGGGGGAGGAGGGGAGGAGGAGGAGAAGAAGGAGGAGGAGGCGGGAGCAGCATCCGGAGCGGAGCTGCAGCAGCGCCGCCTTTTGTGCTGCGGCCGCGGAGCCCCTGAGGTGAGAGCCTGGCCGGGTTGTGGGGGTTGGGGTGCAGGGATGGGTCCGGGTCCGGGTGCGGGGATCTGGGCGTGGAGGGAGAGTAGCGATGCAGATGCGGCGTGGTGAGGGAAGAGGTGGCGCGCGGATGCTGAGGCTGTGGAGATGGAGGAGCTGGGGACCTGGACCCGACGCCGGTGGGGATGGGAAGCAGGGGAACGGAGCCGAGGGCTGCTGCGGCCCAGCTCGGAGGCGTAGAGCCTCCAGAGCTGGGAAGGATGTATAGGGGTGGGGTGATTGGGGTCGGACTTAAAGGACTGCGGGCTAGAGAACATCTTCTCCTCGCACTCATCCTCAAGAGGCAGATGGAAGGGGAGGGAGAGTTTTAGCTTCCTGAAGGGAAGAGAAGGAAGGGCAAGGCCTGGTGTCCCATCTTTCCCTGCCCCCACGTAACGGAGCAGGCTCCACCTGAAGATCACTGGCAGCACCTGTTCCTGGATTCCCTGGCGGTTCCTGGATTCCCTTCCATCTGTGAAACCCCTGATCCCTCCAGCTGTAGCATTCTCCCCTCCCCCATTCACCTCCCTCCTCTCTTTTGGGGCTCCCTGAACCCATTTCCCCAGATTTGACCCTTCACCAACCTCTTCGCTTTCCCTCACCCCCAGGCTCACCTTAGAAATGAGCACCAATCCTTTCTACAGACTTGGGACTTACTGATGACCATGGTCTCCACTGAGGGGAGGGAGGACAAGGGTCAAGACTCCATAGGTAGTGCGAAATAGATGTCTTGATTAAGGCAGAAATTCCCTCTCCCCCTGTCCCCTTTTTTCCTGCCTCTTTGGCCCTCAACCTGGAGGGAGTGCACAAGCCCTGCACCCCACCTGGAGTCCCTTCCCGCCAATCAGCACTCCCTCCTCCCTTTAAACACTCTCCCCTCTCAGCTCTCAGGAGGCTGGCACTCTAGGACCTCTGATTTCCAGTCGTATCAAGCCAAGGCCAGCAGAAAAGAGACTCAAGAAGGAAAAGGCCCATGCCCCTGAGCCTTCCTGTCCAAGGAGCTGAAAGGCACTGCTGCCTCCTGTCTCTCATGGTAGGGCGAGAAGGTGTCTGCCCTCCCAAGCCTACCACACATCTAGTCCCTCACACTGTTGCCTGAGGTGGTTCTGGGAAGACCCTCACTCCCCACACACATGAGAACTCAAAGATAAGTGGCTGTCCCTTCATGAGACCTAAATGTGGGTGGCAGAGGCATGCACTTAAGGAACTGTTTAGAGTTTCCTAGGTGTCCTTACAACTGTGGATGGCAGAACCCTTCTGAAAACCAGCTGCTGGCTGGGTGTGGTTGAACATGCCTGTAATCCCAGCTACTTACAGGGCTGAGGCATGAGGGTCACAAGTTTGAGGCCAGCCTGGGCAACTTCTTAAGACCTTGCATCAAAAATATAGGTCAGTGGTAGAGTGCTGGCCTAGCATGCCCATGACCCTAGGTTTGATCCCCTCAGACTCAAATCAGCTGGTGTTCTTCATCTTCCTCATCAGCAGGGGAGCAGCTAGAGCCTGGGGGTGCCAGGAAAAGGACCCTAAGTCCTACTAACATGCTCCCACCCCCACCCCACATTACACCTGGGAAGGAAGGCAGACATCAGCTTCTTTGGGACTGTGCTGGGGCAACAGGAGGGCACTGAGTTTCAGGAGTGGTGGCCACAGAGATAACCTGTCTGATTCTCTTGCTCCCAGAAGACTTGGGGTCGTTCATGTGTCAGGGAGGCAGCAGGCCTGTTCCAAGGAGAGAAAGGACTTTCCCGAGGCAGCCCTTGCCCCTTTGGCTTCTTTCTTTGCTCTTCTCCTTTCTCTCATTTCCCCTGCACCCTTTCTGCCTATAACCTCTCTACTGTGGCTTGATTTGAGGAAGAAAGGGGAAAGAGAAGGAAATCACTTTTTTTAAAAAGTCTGCTACTTCGTGTTAGACTCTGCCCATTGGGCTGCTGTTTATAGGGGGCTTCTGTGTGCCAGGTGCTGGGCCAGGAGCTTTATTTCAATTACCTCAGTAATGTTCATAGTGAAACTAAATTAGTGTTGTCATTTTCGTTGCTCTAGGATGTGGAAACTGAAACTTGTTATTTATTCAAAATCAAATCCTTAGTGTGCAGCAGGAGTGAGGACTTGAACTCAGGTCCGTCTGACCTAGAGCAGTGTTCTTAGCTGCCGTATTGTATCTGTACTACCAGAGACAGAGTCTCATACAGGCCCAGGGAGGTGGCTCAGCACCCCTGGGGGAGCGAGGCACAAGAAGTGCAAGTCTGAGCCCAGCTTGGGCAGTTAAGCAATTTAGCAAGAGCCTGGCTCAAAAAACTGAAAAAGGGCTGGGATTCAGGTTCAGTCCCTGGCAAAAAAGGAAAAGCAAAGTAAAGCCACAGAAGGAAGGAAAGAAGGAGTCCGTCTTACAGCCTCTGGGCTTAAGTGGGAGAATCAGAAGTACAAACCCAGCCTGGTCAGTGTTAGTACGTAGCAAGACTTCATTTCCAAAACAGAAAGAAAGGGCTGAAGATCGGAGGAGGATGTAATGAAGGCCCTAGCCCTCCCTGGCTTCAATTCTCAGTATTGAAAAAAAAAGTCTCGGACAGTCAGGCCCTGTAGCACATGCCTATAACCCCAGGAGAGTTTCGAGTTCAGCCTCTTCAACGTGGAGAATCCAAGGCCGGTCTGCACTATATAGTAAGATCAGTTCCTACTCCACCCCCCAGCCCAAAAGTGGGGCTTGATGGCACATGCCTGTAATCCCAACATTTATGAGACTTAGGCAGGAGGATCGCTCTGAGTTCAAGGATGGCCTATGCTCGCCATCCCTGAACTCAGGGGATATGACTGGGAGGCACAGTGACTGCCTGACAGGCACACAGCCTTGCGTTTGATTTCCGGTATGAAAAATTAATTAAAATATATTTTATATCTTAACACTTGGGAGGCTGAGGCAGGATGAGCGCTGAGTTTGAGGCTACCTTGGGCAATACTGAGTTCAAGGGCAGTCTGGAATATCAAGACCCTGTCTAAAGAAAGTAAAATATATTTGGCACAGTGGCAAATACCTATGATCACAGCTGCTCGGAAGGCTGAGGGACAAGAATCACAAGTTCATTCCTTCCTGGGAAATTTATTGAAACCTTAGCTGAAATTTTAAAAACAAATAAAGGGCTGGGGATGTATTTCAATGTAAAGCACTCTTGGATTCAATCCTCCAGTACTGCTAATTAACTGTCATATTCTAAAAGCAATTCGAAACTGGGCTTGGGGACACACATCTGTAATCCAATACTCTGGGAGGCTGAGGTAGGAGG